TACCTTTCATTTAAAGTGATTTGATTTGTATTTATTTTTATCCGTTCTCATGACTCTGTTGAAAAAGTGTGAGGAGGTTGGATTCAGACCCAAGACATTTAATTGTGGGTTTGCCAGGTTATGACAATTTTTATATATTAAGTAAACTGAATGACACTTTAAAATATTATTTATATTTATCAAGTTATCTCTTCTTTTTTTTTACCAAACATCGTTAAGAATGTTTGGTAAAACAGAGTTTTACAGGGCGACAGTAGCTCAGTTGGTCGAGCATTGGCCTTAAGGCCAGAAGGTCGTGGGTTCAATTGCCACCTCTGCACCTTCTCCACCGACTCCCACTGATGACTGCTGTCGTTGTGTCCTTGGGCAAGACACTTAACCCCACTTTGCCCAAAAGCCCCCACTGAAAGATCAAGGCTCTGCTCACGCTCAGAGAGCAGCCGTCCTCCTGTGGACTCACCACCTGCAGAGGGTCAGTGAGGGGCTGGTGCTATGAGACTTGGGTGGCATCTCTGATTGCCACCCCCCTGACCCAGAAATGGATTAAAGGGTAGAAAATGGATGGATGGATGGATGTTAGGAATGGTTTGTAAACGCTAAGGAGAGGTTGCATCTCTCACTCTCAGAGGTTGCATCTCTCTCTGGAGAAACCTTCCTACTGCAGCTAAACGTAGATATATATATAGCTGTATATATCCTTAAAGCAGCAGTAAGCGATTTGGTCGTTTCCGGCAGTTTCTTCTGCCTGAGCGAGTTAGTAGCCCCGCCCCGTCTCCTCGTCACACCACATGAACGCGCATCGTCTTGGTGATGGCAGCAGCACGTTCATCTCTGTCAGGTCTACTCGTAAGTATATTAACAACAAACTCTGGGAGTGAAATATTAGCATAGAATAGCTCAGTTGTAACCTAGCTATAACACTGGAAGCAGCTTGGTGTTAGCTAGGATAGCATCACTAAGAAAGAGATAAAAACAATCCAGTCTTTTATAGAATAATACTGCTTTTATAGTTGGCACACTGATAACTGTTGTGATAAACATAATGTTGCAGATTGCAGTGTGACGTGTCTCAACATTATGCACTGTAACATCTGTTACAGTGCATATGTATTAGATGAATGTAATGCATATACATTACAACAACAAAGCTTTACATGAAGGTTATTTAAAGTAATACATTACTGCTTTCCTCACAATTTGTATATTTGGAGTTCTTTATAGACAACGCTGTAGTAATGTATTATGTGAAAGTAAAGCTGCATCTCACTGGAAGCTGCCTTCTCAATGTCACAAAATAAAGATACATTTATTGATGTAATCAACATCTGTATTATGTGCTTATTGTTCAGAGAATGAAGACAAAATCAAAGTGTATCAGAGCTGTACAGTGAGATGTGGGACTGAAAAACAATTCCAGTAAAGCTTGTCCGAAACGCAAAAGTACTGTCATAACTAATTACGTTACACTATTACACTGTAAGGAAACTCACCACTTTGAAAGAAAAGCTACAAGTAACAGAATATATAAAGTCATTTGTCATAACGGTTCTTTCAGGAAGCACTGAACGCCCTCTGTCCAGAGAAGCTGATGACCAGATCCTCCCAGACCTTTCCCTGGTGCGTCTGTGAAAGGTGCCAACAGACATTGAAAACGTGCTTTCCTCAGCGGCCCCCATGGTGCACGTCCTCAGCGGCCCCCATGGTGCACGTCCTCAGTGGCCCCCATGGTGCACGTCCACTCTGCAGTTCTGAAATATGTTTGTAGTTGTACTATTTCAAAATAAAAAAAAATACATTCACCTCTTTCAATGTGCTTTGTTTTATAGTAGGAAAACAAATACAGTCTGTAACGAGTCTAAGAAACTTTATTATGTAAAAGAAGATTTGAAGTTATAGCCGGAAAAATATACACAATGTCCCTACTAAGACAAATAATTACAAGTGATGGTAAGGCAACGTTTGTGTTATCACTTTTTGCTCAAATGAATAACACTGTTATTATCCAGGTCCTTATCCATCGCTGCTGCAGCGAACACTATCAGAGATATCTAACAAAATGTTAATCTTTATGTTGTAGTTTGTTTGAACACATTTCCTCAAAATAATTCATAAGCAGCCACGCACACACAGCCACAAGCACACACAGCCACAAGCACACACAAGCACACACAGCCACAAGCACACACAAGCACACACAGCCACAAGCACACACAAGCACACACAGTCACAAGCACACACAAGCACACACAGTCACAAGCACACACAGCCACAAGCACAGTCACACACAGTCACAAGCACACACAGTCACAAGCACACACAAGCACACACAGTCACAAGCACACACAAGCACACACAGTCACAAGCACACACAGTCACAAGCACACACAGCCACAAGCACACACAGCCACAAGCACAGTCACACACAGTCACAAGCACAGTCACACACAGTCACACACAGTCACAAGCACAGTCACACACAGTCACAAGCACAGTCACAACACAGCACAGTCACACACAGTCACAAGCACAGTCACACACAGCCACAAGCACACAAGCACACACGCACACACAGCCACACGCACACACAGCCACACAGTCACAGTCACACACAGTCACAAGCACACACAGCCACAAGCACACACAGCCACACGCACACACAGCCACACGCACACACAGCCACACGCACACACAGCCACACGCACACACAGCCACACGCACATACAGCCACACACACACACAGCCACACGCACACACAGCCACAAGCACACACAGCCACACGCACACACAGTCACACGCACACACAGCCACACGCACACACAGCCACGCTTCAGGGGCCCAGGTTGAAGGAACTGGAGTCTTCCTCTGGCAGAGATTTTCCTTTGAAACATAATAGAAGAGACATCAGTTTTATCTACTCAAATATGACTTTGATATATTCATCATCAACAACATCAGTATTTATTGATCACCAGGAGTGGCCCCTGATCCACAGGATCCTTGTACATGTTTATTTGGACTGTGAGAGACTGCATTGTGAGAGAAAGACACTTACATCGGCTGTTTTGGGAGTCGAGTGATTATCTCACTCCTCTTGATTGTTGAAGAAACTCAGCGACAGTTTTGTCAACACTGACTCCTGGAACATGATCGATATTCATTTTGGACCTCAGGGCAGCAACACAACTGTAGGGATGAATGACACACACATCACAACATCATTATCATAATCACTGCGTCCCATATATGCATTCACAACAACCTACATGACAAATGTGGGGTGTAAAGTCTTCCTCAGGAGATGACAATGGCCGATCTTCTAATTCTGGAAGCAAAGTCTTGTCTTCCCAGTCAATACTAGAGAAAGAAGAGGTCAGCAGAAAAGTATCTAGTCGTTATGGCATTGTTTTTTTTTTAATAGTTATTTAACTTGCATTATGGAGGCTTTTGAACTCTTGTACATTGAAGACCTCCTTCCAATTGATTTAGGCCATACTGGAAAAGATACAGAGAAAAGAATGCAATGAAGACATGTAAATTATTACAATGTCTATATTATATCATGCTCATAATTTATTTGGTAGTAGTCATCAAGACTCTTACTTATTCTCAATACATAATAATAAAAATGTATGTAGTGGTCACGGAAGTTAGATTTGAGGTAAAGAGATATTGTTTTTTATAACAATAAAACTAATATACAGAGTGCAAGTTGAAAAACTTAGTCATTGAAGAATGAAATGCAGACCTACATATATATATAGTGCAAGCAACTATGTTTATTGGCAAAAACAAACGATTCATACAGATCAGAAGTGTTCGTAGCAGCCACATCATATTCACAACTACAGACAGCTAATGCTAACGCTAATGCTAACAGCGAACGCTAATGCTAACACCACTTCACGGGGGAACTCTGGTGATATGGTCATTTAATGTTGTACATGTGGGGAACTAATAATTGACCGGAGTTTATGGATGACTAAGGCTGGGCTAAGGCTTCGATGTTGTGTTGTCTGTTGTTGTTTCTCAAAGCTAAGCCAAGGTAATGCGCAGTTATTGCCACAAAATGCGGCCGTATTTCTACAACAGCTGGGGATTTTTAACAAACTAACTTGGTGAAAACCCGCATTACAGTCTATCTCAGGCAAAAATATGTATAAATAATACAACTACTACTGCCACTACTGAGTAACATGCTCACCTGTTCAGTCGGAGAGAGGAATCCACGGAGCTAGAGGTCGCCAACATGAATGCAGCTGGTCACCATGTTGCTCCTACTTTTTGTCGTTCCTCTGTTTCTGGCGTTTTGCCTGTATTTAATAGATCCATGCCATGGTATTTAGTCTGCAGCAGCGCTGGAGGCGGCTTTTCCTTCTCCGCCATGTTTGTTTTGAAGAGTGCGCGTGCACACACGGGAGAAACCCCTTATAAGGCGTGCTCTCTCGTCATTGGATAAGCGCATAGGATGTGAGGTTTTTTTATTAAATATGTGGGAGAAGACTGGAAGGACTGAGAGATCCGTGTTTAGGTACAAACACTCTATATAAGTGATGGCTATTGGAATATATCAATATTTAAGACGTATATTAACACCCAAAAATCGCTTACTGCTGCTTTAAGCAAATGTGTATGTAGTAGAAATACTGATGTACTGCGCCTATTCATTGAATGCGGTCAAACTAAGAAGCCGCGTCTGCTCTGATCCAATGCGAAGGGAAACTCTTCAACACACTAACTCAGTTGACACACAAAGCGAAGTAGTAGCGGCAGAGTCAGAGACACCGACATGTTTTTCACGAAACCGGCCTGTTTTGATACACAAGCTCCAGAGCGTTATTGTTTTCCATCACTACTGTTTATGGTTTAATCTGCTGTTACCTCTCTCTAGCTCTTCACAATTGTGTTTTTGATTGTAGGCGTCTTTACATTTGTTTTTGAGCCTCTTTTCTCTCTGTAGGGTTCTTCACAGCTCTGTTTTTGACAATTTTGTCTCTCCATAGTGGACAACGTGCCCCTGGAGCCTCCCCATCGGCCCATAACATCAGCAGTGCCACTGCCACAGACAGAAACAACTTCTCCAGGGGTGTGGGCATCCGCAGCACCTTCCACGCAGGGCAGCAGCGCGGTGCCCGGGACCAGCAGGGCTCCGCCTACCCAGGAGGCCCCGCCTCCCCCTCTCTTTCCCACGGCAACAGTCAGGCTCGCCGCACACACGGAGCCACGGGCATCTTCAGCAAGTTCACTTCCAAGTTTGTCCGCAAGTGAGTAGCTCCAGAGCCGGATGTGCTGGACGTGTGTTTGCAACAACTTCTGTTCCACTATTTTCTGTATCACTGTGAGCGACCTGCTGCGAGAGGCCGTCGGATTGTCAATCTGTGCACACACTGCTACGACTGCCCCGACAACTCCCCCGACAACTGCCCCAACGACTGCCCCGACGACTGCCTCGGCAACTGCCCCGACGACTGCCCCGACGACTGCCCCGACGACGGCCCCGACGACTGCCCCGGCGACCACCCCGACGACTGCTGCAGTTTGGCCTCAGCTGTTGTAAGACTCAGGTAATTCTGAGCTCCCAGACCTCCCTTTACAGATAAACTCTCTGAGCAACGGTCTCCATGGTGACCACAGATATCACTGTCTAAAAATAGCTGTGCTGGGGACACCTCCACATGGATCTCTGTGTGTGTGTGTGTGTGTGTGTTTGCAGGTGTGTATGCGTATGTATATATATGTGTGTATGTGTGTGTGTGTGTGTGTGTGTGTTCTCGTTCTATGTGCTCACCATGCAGGAGACACAGGATGAGAGCTGCGGTATCCCTGCTTGAGAAACCCTGCACAGCTGTGTAATCTCATCCACATACAGGAAATGACTCGCATTACAATATTATGTTATTCATTCTGTAAGAAATCTGAAAACTAAATTACGATTACATTTGTTTCAACATTTTTCCAAATTAAAATGCAAGTTTCTCCTCTCAACAAACCTAGGCTTTCTATAGCCGTCACTCCACAGGTGCCACAATAACCTCCTCTGGATTTAACAACACACTAATTCTATTAACACAACAAGAGCGATGAACTAAACACACACGCTTCCTTTGAAAGATTGTGAAGCCAACCGCACTTCATACACTTCTCTCTCTCTCTTTATCCCTCTGTTTTTGTAGAAATCTGTCGTTCAGGTTTCCACGAAGGTAGGCAATGCCCCAAAGCCCCATCCTCCATGCTCCTCTGGTCTGGTGTCTGTGCAGCTTCTTCCCTCGTGCCTTCGAGCCTCTTTTTTTTTTCTCCTGTGGGCGGCTCGTTTTAACCGAGCCGCCGCTGGTTTTGAGTATTGCTCGCATTTAATTTAATTGTATAATTTCTCCTCTTCAGATGTGAACGCTCACTAACCCTTCACCGCGCAAACCCATGTGCACCTGGACCCACTCATTCACCCCCCACCTCATGACCTCATGACCTCATCTCATCATCCTGAAGACTACCCTCTAGTCTGGGTACAAGTGTAGAGGAAGTTTATAAGCTTTCAGAAACATACAATGTGTGGAGCACAAAAAGTACAGTCAAAGTCATCTATTTAAAACCTGAAAACCAAAATAATTCCCTGAGCAGTTAGAAAAAGACTTTGATCTGTGTCAGATTGTGTCAGCAGTCCCAGCCTCAGGAGAGAAGTGCTTCTGGTACTTACATTTCCTATCCACATAGTTTCAAAAGTTTGTTGAAAAAGACATACAACAAATGACACGTGAAACATAAGTTAAAATGAACAAATCCTGGTGGTTGTTGATTTGTTTAGAACATTCAGATGTTAAGGTTTTCCTGGACATCACGTTTGGAAATGAAGACACTACCTACTCTAATTTTAATGTTAAAAATAACTAATTACAATTAACAACTGCCATGTTTTAACTCAAGATCAGTTTGAACTGATGTCTGTGAACGCTGTGATGTCACACAAACCTAACCTCATCATCTAAAATCCACTAATCCACTTACTGGGGGCAGTTACAGAATAATGCACAGGGGTCTGGTTTTCATCAGAGGTTCACTTCAACTGTGACTGAAAGAATGTGAAATAATCCAGGAAAGTATTTGACCAATAACAGAAGTTTAAATCCTTAACAATAAATGTAACGTGTCCTGTAGGTCTTCACACTGTTCATGCAGACTTTCACCTCCCACCACAGATTTTCTATTGCGTGAGATTTGGAGACTGGCTAAGCCACTCCAGGACCTTGATTGGCTTCTTTCGTAGCTACTCCTTTGCTGCATACCTGCGCTTAGCTCCAATCCGTACATGATTTGTACAGGTTGACCTCTTATAAGATAAGAGTTCCTTTATCTGGGGGCGCATATAAAAAGTCTAGATGTAACGTGACATATGGTCCCTTTAGATATATAAGCTATCTTTAGTTTTAAGTCAGTTAAGTGTCCTGTTACATTGTGAAAGAGGCCTGGGTCTGGGTCAGAGCCTGGGTCTGGGTCAGAGCCTTGGTCTGGGTCAGAGCTTTGAGCCTGGGTCTGGGTCGGTGGTCTGGTCCAGCTGGATCTCTCTGCACTAACAGCCGTGGCGCTCTGCTTCCCGTCAGGCCACACTCTGGGCTCTTGTGAATGACTAACCCGACAACTCAACATTCCACACGTCACTGTGCACTTTTGTCATGTTCTGCTCATCTGTGTTTTAACCATGTTTTCTTTCAGGAGTCATGTGCTGCTTATGTGTATGTGCGTACATGTGCGTTACTTAGGCGTACGTGTGCGTACGTGTGTGTGTGTGTATGTCCAGAAGACCCCTGGATCTGAGCTCCTCCCTCTTCATGTTCTTTGTGCGTTGTTGGTCGTCGTTCATCCATTCGTTCATGAGTCATTCTCCCATTGGCTGAAACTGGTCCAGACATTTCACAATGTTTGATCTGGACCAAGTCTTTTCTGCTCCTAAACACAAGTCTTCTTCCAATCTGAAGGGGGCGCTAGTTTCAGGTCAAATGAACAGAAATGTTGAATTTACACTTTGATCAAAGGAGAGACTGGGACCTCCTCCGTCTGCTCAGGACTGAAACCAGAACCAAAACCAGAACCACTTAAATCCACTTCTCAGACCAACTCCTTCAGGTTTCAGAACAGACTTGTGTGTGAGTGGAAACGTCTGAATGCTCTGAACATGGTCCAGATGGAACTAGTGAGAGATGTTCTGCGACGCTTTCATGTTCTCCAGAAACGCTGCTCTGGGTCCTAAAGTTACGCTCACTTCATCAGATCAGCTCAACTTAAATCCTTGGAGCGTCACTTTGATCTCTGTGGAGCTTTGTGAGAAGTCTTCAAACATGTGTCCTGACTGAAGGAGCTGCACTCGTACTGGAGCGGCCCGCCTCCATTACATCCGGTCGTGCTTAAGTTTACTCACCCAGGCAGAAATGTTGGCCATATTTCAGAGATTGAGTGATACCGTTGTTAGTGGTTGTGTAAAGCCTTTTATTACCAAAGTTTGATCGTTTTTGAGCCTGATCAGAATTCTCCATCCTCCAGTTCTCGATACTGTAGCATGTATTTTGTTAAACCGTGCACTTGGTGTTGAAAGCATGAAACTTGGCACACAGACTAAATGGGCCCTAGTATTTATGTGTGAATTCCTAGAAAACCGATACATTTCAAAATAAAATAAGTTCATTAGGACACGTCTGCAGTCTTGTCCTCTCAGTTCCCAAAGCTCATGGCCGCTTCTCGTGTCAAAGGTGCTGGAAACCCACTGTTCCTCCTGAAATACAGATTTGACTCTGTTGAGGTCTCAATTAATTTAAATTCAATGTATTTTTGTGTAGCCGTAAATCACAACAGTAGTTATCTCAGAGGACTTTACAAAGCTGTTGATTCGCCAACGCAGATCAGAGAATCAAACTGGTCCATAAAGGGCAGATGAGTGTCCTGGATCATTACTGTTCTTTGACCCTCCTGCATCGGCAAAGAGCAACTCTAAAAACTAATCTGGAGGAAATTAAAGACCTCGGGGTTTCCCACATTTAGGGAGGGATCTGGACAGGCTATAGACCCAGTACCTTTGACTAGACCCCGTGATCCTCTCATTCACCGGGGAGAACTAAACACTGAGATGGGGGAAATCTGCCAAGCTCACTGCCAGAGAAGTTGCCCCTCAAGAAGTTGATCATTCGAAAATATAAAACTTACTTGACAATTCATGCCGTCAAACAACCACTAATAATGAGTGTAAAACTGTGTGTGTAAGTTTGTAATCAATCAAATATGGACAAAACGGATATACCTACGGCCGGGTGTGTAAACTTTCGAGCACAACTATGAGTATGACTTCAACATCCTGTTCATGGACTCACCGTTACATGAGCTGAGCAAAGTATTCCTCTTTCAAGATACTTTTAAACTATTGTGCGTCATTGTTCTTCATCTGTCACTTACCTGGAGTGGTTTATAGCTCCGACCACTCCTGCTGTGATGGATCCTTAGATGACCACATCATAGACGCAGCCATGTTGTGCCTTTCAAAACAATAAGTTTTGAATCTCCTCTGTCGAACGATGTCCTTAAATTAGATCGCACCATGCTCGCCTAGGATCTAGTTTCCAAATTTCAGGTGTAAATGTAAAAGTGTTCAGTTTCTGTCTGAGCCTCATTCTGTTGCGCTCTTTCCCTGCGGTGATCCCAGCCTGTTCACAGCGGCGCGTGCTGTAATTCTGCCCCTTCCAATCGCGTATCTCACTGGGGTGAATCAGACCGATTACAGGGAAAAGAAGACAATTGGTGCAATTTAGGGCTTAATATTGGAATGCAATACCCCACTTTTACCACCAGATGGAAGTGTTGCTCATTCTGGTCATCTTATTCATGATTATCCATACTTCTATTTCCACTTGTTCACATTCTAAACCGTAAAATTAAATGACCTCAAGATCATGTTTATCGACCAAAATGAAGCAGAATAATGGATAAACTTCCGGAAGCCTAAATCAACTGTTCCCATGCGCTGATTGATCTGTTGTTTCGGGACACTGAAGTGGAGGAGTCCAGGTCATGGGACGGGCACAGGCGGGGCGGGGGGCGCCAAAGTGTCCCGTGTGAAAAAAACTAAACTTGTTGATTTTTCCCGAGGAGCCCGTATGAGGGAGAGGGCCGGGATGAGGGCAGCAGGTGAGGCCCCGTCATAACATAGACCGACTGTCCCATGTGGAACTGAGCAGCCAATCAGCAGGCGGGGGTGAATGAGGGGGCGGGCCAGGTGGCGGTGGTGGCGGGGGGATTGATCTTGCATGGACGGGGGGTGTGTGTCGGAACCTGATCTTCGCTCATGTGTCTGTGTGGAGAACCGCAGCTTGATACACGTTTAAGACCTTCTCAGAAGACATTAGCTTTAGTGAGCACTTTTTCTTAGTCGAGTCAATCCACCCCATCTGTCGTGTGGTTCCTAAAGCGCACAACGTGGTCAGGTAACACGATTACAGTCAAACAGGTGGAAAGTAAAGAATGTGTACATGGCCAATTCTTCCAAGCAGATCTTCTTGTTTAAGGCTGTTGCTAGGCAACACAGATATTCACCTCCCCCACATTGACCTGAGTATTTTAACTAATTAACTCTAAGTATATAAAACTTGTTCTTTTGGCCCTTCTTGAAACACCTTCACTGATAAAATCGACCTCAATGCTATATGGACTCTTTCCCAAGAGCAGTGTGTCTTTCTTTGAATCTCAGAACCCAACAGCAGCAGACTGTACATGACCACGGGGTCTGAGAAGGTCTTCACGGTGTGAAAGTGCTCTGGCCTCACAGACACATGCGGCCCGTAATCGCCCTCTCCTCATTCCCATGTGCTCATTTGCGTTGTGCGTGTGAGTGTATGTGTGTGAGCGCGCCTCGGCCCTGTCACTGACCCCTGGGGCCTCTCTCTGCGGCCGCTCTCCTCAGGTCGATGCTGAGCAGCACCGTGGACAAAAGTGACAAGACGTCCGGAGGAGTGCTGTCCCCAAACAACGAGGAGAACTCCTCCCCCGGCTCTGGGAACACAGGTCTGTCTCTCCCTCACCCTCACTAACTTCAAATGAGTTGTGTGTTCTCCAGTCAAATGACATTCTTTAATTGGACTGCACCATGTTGGATATAGTTGTAAATGCTAAATGCAGCAGCTTTTAGTGTAGTCCTTATTGTTGATAAATAATAGGCCTGAATGTGTAAAGTGGAAACATGTCCCTTTGTTGTGAGTGACGGCTGTACTTGTGCTCGTGCAGGTGGCACCGGGACCCCCCCGGCCCTCGGGGGCCAGAAGGACGCGGCCAAACCTCGTTCTCTGCGCTTTACCTGGTCCATGAAGACCACGTCGTCCATGGAGCCCGGCGAGATGATGCGTGAGATCCGCAAAGTGCTGGACTCCAACAGCTGCGAGTACGAGCTGCGCGAGCGCTACATGCTTCTGTGCGTGTCCGGGAACCCGGCCCGGGACGACTTTGTGCAGTGGGAGATGGAGGTGTGCAAGCTGCCCCGCCTCTCGCTCAACGGAGTCCGCTTCAAACGCATCTCTGGAACGTCCATCGCCTTCAAGAACATTGCCTCAAAGATCGCCAACGAGCTCAAACTGTGAGCGCCATGGAAGCAGGAGGGAGCGTTTAGGGCCCTGAGCTAACGCTAAGGCTAAAGTGGGGCCCGCGTGCTGACTGTGGACTCTGCATGTGTCCCTCCGCCCATCACATGACCACTCCCTCACTATGTATCGTCTCGTCCCGTTAGCGGAGCCTCAGGAGGAGCCCATGGAGGCGGACTGTCCTCCATGAAGCCGGAGCGGAGGGACCTGGCGCTCACCGCAGCACAAGCACATCCACACTCCCACTCGCCATTCTCTTCCTTTACTATGATTCTTTCTCTTTTGCTTGTTTAAAAGTTGTGCACTGGAAAAGACGGGCGTAGCCGACGACATGAGGAGAGCTGTAGATTCATTGATGCCTTTTCTTTGAAGTATACTTTGTTTTTTTCCACAAAGTCAGCACATAAATTGCGTGTTACTTTGAGTCGCCATGGCGCCTGCGTACCGAGATTGTGGAGGCGTTTAATTTGCCATCGGACAGTTTCATGTGTGACTATATCCTACACAGATCACTGGAGAAACTAAATCCACAATGACGAGTGGTAAATTCTGCTTTTTGATTTTGGATCTACGTTAGCGGCGCGGTGTACAGCCTGGATGTTGTCGAAGGAGTGGAGTCATTGCTGCCTTTTGTTGCACCTTTCACGAGCTCACACTTCTTCACCACAATCACACTGTCATTTTAGAGGTCGCCCTTTTTAATCCATCACACGTTCTTTTAAACGCTGATCTTTGTATAAGGTGCTGGGTAATGGATTCTAATATTTTCGGCTTTTGCTGTAATTTTCTTTCAGGGTTGATTTCTTTTACATTTTCGTTGTTTTACATTGCTGTAATTGACATGATTTTAATGTGTTTGAGCAAACTGTATCTGTAGTGGTGGGTATTGGGTTGGGGCTGATCAACTCCTGAAAAAAAATGTATTTGTTTTGTTTTTTTTGTGAAAAGCAAAGACAAAATGATGAAAAATTACAATGATAGTAATAAAAACAATGATATAATGACCATGGATTGAAGTCGATGCTTGAATCAGTGGCTTCTTGCACAGTGGGCACTAGAGGGCGCTGTTGGACCAGACCACCACCAAAAACACCATTCTAAACTGGCAGCTTACAATTCCACTTTATAACCACCTTCTCTTAACGGGATTTGGCAGCAGGAACTTTGTCCATGTTCCTTCAGTGGTTATTCTGATGCATTTATTATAAACCACACGTCAGGACTACAGCAGAACAAACCACCATCGTCTTCTACAGTGGACATGTTTAGTTGAGATTCAAGTGAGTTCCTTTTCAAATTGTTTTCTACGGTCCACACAGCTGCACAAGGTTTGTTTTATTACGGTACACCAGCTTTAAAACAGTTTTCACAAGCATCATTTTAACCTCATCTTTGCTCAGCTTTGACTGAAACATCCTCGGATCAAATTGACCCGCCACAGTTGAGCTATTTTTTTATTTTTACTAACTTAGCTCTGGCTCAATTAAACCATTTAGGGTATTTTTCTTATTAATCTGGCTGGACATTTTGGCCCAAGCGTAGCACAAAGGTTAAAGTGGATTTTGGACCCTGTATCTTTGGGAACGAGCCTCCAGGTCCCAGCAAACACACTGCACAGCTCACGTTCAACCATTTTATTCTAAAAACATTTGAATTAAAGTTAAACAATGAAAACGTGTCTCACAGAGAACGCACACGGGCCTTTGGGGGAAAAGTACAAAAAAGAATCACACTTTCTGCATTCTCACGATGAGCAGAGACGACAGGCGTCTGCGCTCACTTTGGCAGAGCGCCATCAAAAACATCTTAACATTTTCCATGTGTCCCGTTTGTCACGTACATGGCTTCAGCCGAGCGACCATGACAGAGCTCCACCCTCACTGTCCCACAAACATAATTGAAGTAAACCTAAGCTACTCACATGAAGACTACCTACGCGCTGGGCCCGCCGCCCGCGGGCCGTCACCGGATCAACCACGTTATGGGAAGTCATTTTGAGCCGCCCCTTATGGCTTAATGTTGCTTTGTCTCAGCTCATGTCTTAATGAGAGACACGTCTGAAGGGTCGTCGTGTGTAACTACTGTGGTAATGAAGTCGGAGATCCGGTGACAGGCTTCACTCCGCGCCGACGCTGAGCAGGTCTCATCTTAAAGCCGGGCTGCATCCCAATTCAATCAAATGCACTTGTCCTTTATGTTGCCTTAGGAGGCATTTAAAACACTTTATCTGTCCCTAAAGATGAAGGAGGCATTTGACCTGGCCTGGAGCACAGCCCGGAGGTCCCAGCAGGAGGTAGGCGTGTCGTAAAGGGACCGCAGGTTGGGACGCTGAGGTCAGTGGGACGTGCTCTGCTCCAGCTTGTTCCCCAACAGTGAGGTGGGGCCCGGGGCGGCTCCGGGGGAAGTGGAGGTGGGACGGATGAGTGGAGGAGGCGGGTGGTTGTGGGGGGTGCGTGTCTGAAGAGGGCGGGTCTGCAGAGGAGGAGGCTGGCGCAGGAGGCTGGGAGGGGCTGCAGGTGGGGCGGGGCGCAGCAGCGGAGGGGGCTGGGACAGGGAGGAGGGAGGCGCTGCAGAGGAGGGAGGAGGAGAACCTCCTGAGGTGTCAGAGGGAGAGTCCTCCATCTTCACCTGTGGAGGAGAGCAGACGTCAGCTTCTACATGACGACAATGGACCTTTGGACCTTCCCTCGTTGATACCAATCAGTTTTGGCAAAACGACAAAAGTTTTTTGTTGAGTCAAAACAAAAATAAATGGAATTGAATAATGATCACATGTCACAACATTCTGCTGTGGGATTACTCCAGCTGTTCCCAGGAGGAAGCAGCCCTGTACGCATACCACTGTTTGAGAAACTGGTCCTAAAATAGCAGCATATTCAACATGGTCCAGAGCCCGTCTAACAAAAGTAAACTTTCAACTACTGTATTATCCAATAATAATCCAGTGATATTATTTAAATAAATCCATAATGACATGTAGATCTGAGTCCTCAGTAAATAATCTTAGTTCTCTGAAGGACTTTGGACTCGTTTCTGGACTAATGTCCATCCACCGTCAGCCTTGCTATGATAATGCAGTTACTATTGTTACATAAGCCTTTCCCTGTGTGGCAATAATTCTTCCTCACCTCATCATCTTCGTTGGCCCCGTCGGCCCCGGGGCCCATGTCCTCCTCTTTGGGAGAGTCTTTTGTGGAAACCTGCTCAGCTGCCCACTCCCTCAGTACCTCGTCCAGGTTAAAGCGGCGGCGGTAAGTCACAAAGAAGGAGCTCACCTGGACACACACACACACACACAGTTCAACAAACAGGACATTTGTGTGTTTTAAAAGGTTGGTTTAGTGTGTATGTGTATATATATATATATATATATAAAAATAATAATATAGATAGATATACATATAATTATACACTATATCACTTTTTTGGACACAAACTAAAACATAACAGAAAAAATATATTTATTAAGGAAAGCAAGAAGGAACAGACGGGTTTTGAGAAGTGACTTGGACTCTTTCCAGAACTTCTTCACAGTTTCTGTAAGTGAGTTTCAGGGAGTGGGGCCAGCTGCAGCGAAGGGGAAAACAATATTTTTCCCAAAACTTTGCCTGTAGCAGCTAGCTATTATTGAATGGGAACTACTACACCCATCAAAACTGGGGAAAAAATCTTTGTTGATTTTTGCTACTGTGAAGGGGAAAACAATATTTTTCCCAAAGTTCGGTTGTTCTGATGGGAGTGAGGAGGTTGGAGTCGGCGGATCTGAGGTCAGTGTAATATGAGGGGGCTCAGTTATGGAGGGCTTAACGGGTGAGGAGGAGGTCTCTGGAGCAGGTCCGGGGAAAGGTTCTGGATGTATTGCTGTTTTTGAAGAAGAAGGGACAAAATACAGGAAGCTATTGCAGTAATCAAATCTGGAGATGATGAAGGTGTGGATGAGGATTTCTTCAGTGGATGTCGTGAGAAAGGGGCTAAGATGGACGGTGTTAAGGAGGTCACTGCCAGCACCACACTTGCCGCAAAACCAGGATCTGCCGTAAAAACTGGACCTGTTTTTTGGCAGGAGCAGAAACGGTGCAATGAGCAGTCTTTCTTCATTTTCCTCTTTGGCAGCGTCCTCTCACACCTGGATGGCGTGAAATGAGGCCAAACATCTCCCTCAAGGGATTGTCAGCCTGAATCTGAGTACTTTATCGATGTACTCGTTCATGTCATTACAGCAGCAGAATCAAAAACATTTACTGCTCTCAGCCCAAAGTGTCAAATAATTACATGTTTTCTCATGAAGTGTAAGACAGATCAGACTTGCACTTTGTGTCACGGTGGAGTCACTGGGACCTTTTTCCACATGGTCTGAGAGTGTCCAGGGGTCACCCAGTTTTGAGAGTTGGCCGGCGGCTTGCTTCTGCTGAAAGACTTTTCGGCTCGGACTCAACTTTTTTTGCTGGACTTACGGCTACTAAGACAATTTTTGCCACAAGATGGAAGCCCCTCATTGACATTTGAACACGTGCGTTCTGTGGGCTCTCCAGGAGGCGCGGAGAGCACCATTAAAACGTGAAGCAAGACAGTCTTACTTGTGAGACGGGGGCAGACTGGGGCAGACTGACCTGTGCGGGGGTCTTGGTGCTGATGACCTCGGCGATGGCTGTGAAGTCTTTCCCATAACGGCGGATTGCTGTGGGCAAAAGTCACATGATGAATATTTCACCTTCTTCAAATGTCTGGTTTTTTCCCCGCTCTCAGACGTTCATGATCCAAGTGTCTGTGCTAAAGACTCAACGCCACGATTCAAACTGAAGCGGGAGAATCTCACACGCTTTGACTTTCCAGGAAAGATCACTGGAGGTGGTTATGCCACGAAGAGGGTCTAGTAAATATCAGACTAGTAACATTTGTTAAGACACAGGGTCTGGTGGGGTCACCTTTAAACCTCCATACCATCAGAGTCTGTAGACCTTTTACCAGAAACTTGAAAAAGCACATTTTAAATGTAGTAGTAGTATATTTATGATTCTAGGACATCATTCTTTGATCAAATGTATGTCACTTTATTTCAATATGTATAATGTGCATTCTGTGCCGTCACCTGTAACTCATCTTTGGTAAAGACTTGGGCCGGGACTTTAACGTGTTAATTAAGATTAATTAACGCCACAAAAATTACGCATTTTAATCGTGTGTTTTTGCACCGCGGAACTTTCCTTACTGGATGAGGTTCAGACGGACCGATTATACTGGAGCACCAACTCGAGCTCCGTGACTTTTTTTGTTCAAAAGTACATTATAACAACAAGCAAAGACCAACTTTAGCGGTGTCTAAATCCCAGTGAGAGACGGAAAGAGCGCTGTGTGTGGAGCGATGGACCCGGTGTGTGAGGAGGAGGAGGAGGAGCGACTCCTGTGAGCGGAGGCAAAGGAGGAGGAGGAGGAGGAGCGACTCCTGTGAGCGGAGGCAAAGGAGGAGGAGGAGCGACTCCTGTGAGCGGAGGCAAAGGAGGAGGAGGAGGAGCGAGCGACTCCTGTGAGCGGAGGCAAAGGAGGAGGAGGAGGAGCGAGCGACTCCTGTGAGCGGAGGCAAAGGAGGAGGAGGAGGAGCGAGCGACTCCTGTGAGCGGAGGCAAAGGAGGAGGAGGAGGAGCGAGCGACTCCTGTGAGCGGAGGCGAAGGAGGAGGAGGAGGAGCGACTCCTGTGAGCGGAGGAGGAGGAGGAGCGAGCGACTCCTGTGAGCGGAGGAGGAGGAGCGAGACTCAGGTGTGTAAACTGCTATTGCTGATGTCAAATACACACATCAAAAACGTATTATAAAAGCTTCAGCAAACAGCGCATGCCCAGCTTTAGGGCTCACTGCTTTAGTGCTCTCTGCTTTAGTGCTCGCTGCTTTAGTGCTCTCTGCTTTAGTGCTCTCTGCTTTAGTGCTCTCTGCTTTAGTGCTCTCTGCTTTAGTGCTCTCTGCTTTAGTGCTCTCTGCTTTAGTGCTCTCTGCTTTAGTGCTCTCTGCTTTAGGGCTCGCTGCTTTAGGGCTCGCTGCTTTAGGGCTCGCTGCTTTAGTGCTCTCTGCTTTAGTGCTCTCTGCTTTAGTGCTCTCTGCTTTAGTGCTCTCTGCTTTAGTGCTCTCTGCTTTAGTGCTCTCTGCTTTAGTGCTCTCTGCTTTAGTGCTCGCTGCTTTAGTGCTCGCTGCTTTAGTGCTCGCTGCTTTAGTGCTCGCTGCTTTAGGGCTCACTGCTTTAGGGCTCGCTGCTTTAGGGCTTCTCACTGCTTTAGGGCTCACTGCTTTAGGGCTCACTGCTTTAGGGCTCACTGCTTTAGGGCTCACTGCTTTAGGGCTCACTGCTTTAGGGCTCACTGCTTTAGGGCTCACTGCTTTAGGGCTCACTGCTTTAGGGCTCACTGCTTTAGGGCTCACTGCTTTAGGGCTCACTGCTTTAGGGCTCACTGCTTTAGGGCTCACTGCTTTAGGGCTCACTGCTTTAGTGCTCACTGCTTTAGTGCTCACTGCTTTAGTGCTCACTGCTTTAGTGCTCACTGCTTTAGTGCTCACTGCTTTAGTGCTCACTGCTTTAGTGCTCACTGCTTTAGTGCTCACTGCTTTAGTGCTCACTGCTTTAGTGCTCACTGCTTTAGTGCTCACTGCTTTAGTGCTCACTGCTTTAGTGCTCGCTGCGAGTGCAGAAGATTTTGGGCTTAAAAAGCGTCTGTTGTGGTCAGAGTGTGGAGGCGATGACATGAACGTTTTTGGATGGAAAGAAGTCAGTCTGATCCTCCACAATGAACATGTTGCTTCAGCTTATGTATTCAGTCATTATTCAATGGTAAACTAAAAATCCATGTGAAAAAAATTACTTCTCACTGTTCTCAAGTAAACTATTTATATGTGATTAAAATGCGATTAATTACAAAGCCTCTGATAATTAGATTAATTTTTCTAATCGAGTCCCAGCCCTAGTAAAAACTAATGGTTTTCTACATGGTCCTTTTTATCATTGGCTCAGTCCGTGGGACAGACTCAGATTTGTTTTAGTGAGCAGCAAGTTTCTTTTTGGTTTACATTTGAGCCAAAATTCCTGCGTGCTGCTTCCCAAACACAGTGTGTACTAGAGGAGGTTCAACATGGAGGATGGCGGCCTCACCCTGCACGGCCAGAAGCTGTTCCTCAGTGGTCCAGCGAGCGTTCATCTTGGAGGCGGGCTGAGGAACACACACACGCTCAGTCCAGCACACACACACACACACACAGTCTCTGGGGCAGGGGGGGAGGGGCTTACCTCGCTGGGTTTAAGGGTCTCCACGCCCTCGCTCAGGCTGTGCTTCAGACTGCTGTTGGCCTGTTTGATGGCCTGCACCTGGACACACACACGTATTTGTGTAACTTTAAAATGCATAATACAAACCATAATGTTTGGCACAAAAATTAGAAACATCAAACAAAAGATGCCAGATTTGTGAATCATTACAGGCTTAAATGACTCAATGCGAACTCTCCCAGACACAGTGATATCAATGTTTTATGCTCTCCTGGCCACAGTACCCAATCCGGCCACCGGTGGCTCATGCGTTGATGAATAAATAATATTTGGAAATCATTGATAGAACGAGTGACTTTGTAGACTTGGAGCTGTGATTTTGCGCAAAATCACTATCGGTGCATCCGGGGCTTCGATTCCAGGACAACCTGGTGTTGGCCGTTTTGAATATTAAGTAAGTTCTACAATATTCAAAAATCCAATTCACCATTTTCCACTTGTATGTGTTTCTATGTCTAGTTTGGCAGTGTTTTATTGAGTCAGCAGGTGGCAGCAGCACTCTGTGGTTGTCTGGTCAAAGGTTACACACTGAATGCAGTGTGTGCAGATGTGAGAGACGCACACTTCTCATGTGAGAGACAAGTGTGTGAATGTTTTACTTTGTTATGTACGAATCCATGGCAGGGATTCTCAATGTCTGTAAGTTTACAGCTAATGCATAAAGACCTGAACCAAAATGTACAGTTGTCAAGTTTAGTACCATCTATCACTTTACAGTAAAGACACATTTGGGCAAAACTTCTGAGAGACATGTTTGTGCCACAAGTTCCTGATGCGAGCGTGCATGGAGCTAAAACCATCTCCAGGTCTGTGGCCGATGTTGAATGTGCTTGAGAGCAGTGAAGTGTAAAGGGTTTGAGTCGTACCTGTCTCTTGAGCGACACCAGCTGTGTGTCCAGCTGCCGGATGCTGAGCTGTCCTGCGTCGTGGGAAGCTGACACCGCGGTGATGTCACTCTGGTCCAGGTACATGCCTTTGGGGGGTCTGCGGCGGGCTCGCAGCGGGTGGTGCCTGTACTGGGCCCCCATGCTCTCCTTTTTCACGGCGCCAGAGCGGCTGGGGGTCAGTTTGTCCCCCCCGCTGCCATTGGAGTTCTGTTTGGCGGTCTGCACCGGAGCACACGTGTTAGCATGATTCTGAGGCTCACAGTGATACTGGACTATAGGGGTGCAACGGTTTGAAAAAAATCACGGTTCGGTTCGTACCTCGGTTCAGAGGCCACGGTTCGGTTCATTTTTCGGTTCATTTTTCAAAAAAAAAGTTTTGTCTTTTTAATAAACACAGCTCATGTGGACTCGGCTCCTGCTCTGACTGCCCCCCCTGACCTAGAAATGAATTAAGGGGAAGGAAATGGATGGATGGCATATTCCATCCATCCAATTATGTCTATTTAACATAATTAATGGAAAACAACACAAAGTGCAACATAAGAAGGCACTTTATGAGGATATTTACCCTCATATATTACACCACCTTCCTGATTCTCCCGAGGAGGGGGTCCATTCTGGGCCCAGCCTCATTCACTGCATTTGTTTAATTTTTGGCATTATCAGTTGTGACTGGGATATTAGTACTGGGCCTTTGTCTTCCATTCCTCCGCTGCTTGTGTCAGTACCTGCGCTGGGTGACTGTGTGACTGTCGTAGAGGGGGCGTGTCTTCAGCGCCAGACTTTTCATCTCCCAGTCTGCGGTGATGAAGTGAGCGGTTCCGCTCATGGATCTATTATAGTTTCTGCGGTACGTCCAAGCGTCAGTCGTGAGCGCAGCTGAGGATGCGCGGGAGAGTTGACTTTAGCCCGGTCTGGTCTGACTGTGCGTAAAGGAGCTGCTTAAACGCCGCGACAACAAGCGGTCGTTGAGACGCTTTTTTCACTCATGTCTTTCTTGTGCCACAGTGCTTACACATCGTGACAGTTTTGTCGACTATTAATTGTCAGTATAGTTACAGTGAAGCCAAAATGCTCTCATACTGGGGATTTAAATGACGCGGGGCTTTCAAGCATCTCCGTTCCTCCGCTCGCAATGACCGCGTTGTGTGTGGACTGAACAACGTGCGCACAACTTTTTTTTCATAAATCAAACCGTGGATCACGTCTGTACCGAACCGAAGACGTTGAACCGAACGGATCACGGATCAGTGATGAACCGTTGCACCTCTACTGGACTAAAGAGAACTTCTTCACCTCCTTTTTAGTGTCCACCTCAAAGTCACTGTCACTGCCCGGCTCCTCCCCCTCCAGCTCTTCATTACTGAAAACGCACCATTCAACACTTCACTTCTTCAAACCAACACAGAAACATGTGATACATTATGGCTCTTTTCTTTTTGGCCCCTTAATAATGCCACAATCCCCCAAATGTAAAGCCCGTTTATAAAATTCAAAGCTTTGAAGACCTTGAATTTGTGTCCATCAAATGAAATACCTTTTGTAAGATTTAATGCCTTTGGGGCTGCCCTGTATCTGTAGTGAGGGTCTGCCTGATGCCCACCTGTCGTCCTTCTCCCTCTTGGTGACCAGCCTCCGGGCCTGACGGTCCATGACAGAGGTGCGACTCCGGGTCTTCTTCCAGCTGTAGTAGTACTTCACCAGGCTGGAGATCAGTTTGTCTGGGAGCTACACACACAGACACACACAGACAAACACAAATGCCTTTTTGAGACAGGCCACAATCATGCGGCACACCACCAGCTGAAACTGACCACAGTGATTTTGTTAATAAATAGAAAGAATAGAAAATAAACAAGCACAAATGAACACATTTCACTTCCTGAATAAACATCTGTTTTTTTCTAGCGACCACCGGGAGAGAGGCGATGTGGTCGGTCTGAGCGACGGTCACAATCAGACCTACCACGCCTTCTCAGGAAGTAACATCAGTTGATAAAAGAAGATGGCACGCAGCTTTTCAGCAGAGACATGTAAAAACTAGAGTGGCCCTGTGAAAACAGAGGAAGGACTTCCAGCAAAATCTCCCTAAAAACCTTTAAGATCAACCCATGTTTTTGAACATGTGGCTGAAGGACTGAGCTCAGAAAGACTCAACTCCCAATATTCATCTAATTGTTCTGCCCTAGTGTCTCGTTTCACTTTAAAGTATACGTTAAATGTTGTGCACCTGAAAGAAACTAAACTAATCGTATCAAGATAAAATCGTGCTAAATTCAAGCATCTATTCCCTATTATCTATCTATTTAAGTAAAAGCAACTTGACTTTATTATTCTTCAGCATACAACAGTGTAGTGTGACTAGAATGATCCCTACTCTACTCCTCACACCAGGGAAAAACAAACTTTTCGTCAGTAGCCGCTGCATGTGGGACTACACTGGTGTGGCCTTCATGGCCACATGGAGCAGGGAGCCTCACCATCTGCTGGATGCGGTGGAAGCTCTTGCCGTGGAAGCTGAAGGCCTGCTCAAACAGAACCTTGTCCTCCACGCTCCACTCGTCAGGGAAGGGAGTGAAGTTTGCCAGATCAGCCAGAGAGCGCTCCACGTCGTGTTTGTGCCACAGCAGCATGCCCAGAGCCTGCACACACATTACAGTCCTCACACTCAGGAAGCTACAAGTGCAGCAGAAGAGTTTCAGGTCACTGCTTGTGTGTAATCAATTGAACATTTTTGCACAAAATAGAAAAGCACTTGTAGAGCGCAGACTAGGGGCACCTTAGGGCACCTCACGATACGATACGATACGCGATACAACGCTCACGATAACGATTATATCACGATATGACGATTATCAATATATTGGTCAGAAATATACCATATGCCAATATATTGCATACATAAAATAGAAAACTTAAGTGAAAAAATCCACTTTATTTCATGATAAATGGAATGGAGATGTGTAAAGTAGCCATATATTAAGTATTAATACTAATAAAAATATAATAATTTGAAAAAAAAAAAAACTCGGCAAATGCATATTGATAATTGATCGCGGGAGAAAGCATTGCGATATATCGTCACACTCCTAGCGCAGACCTCCACCGAGAAGCGCAGTTCTATTCCTTTAAAAAACAGAGGATCACAGACTTCAGTTATCTGGTCTGTGCGATAAGGAACAAGGACTCCGTAAGTCTGAACCAGGACTAAACCAAGACTAAGGCCCTGTCCACACAAAGTCAAATTCAGGCCTAAATGCAAATATACATTATCCATCCAGTGCATTATATCCGTACAAAGCCAGAGTTTGTATCTGTGAAGTTTTCTGTGCAGATTCTCATTAACACGCATGTGGCAGGATTGGAACATTTCAACCACACTGCTGTGTTCGTGTGCTGTGAGCATGCACAGCAGATCCCTCCTGGACAGAGGGAGGAAACTAAAGCAGGATTTTGTTCAGTAAATAGTAAAACATGCCGTTAGTGTATGTGGCTGAATGGAAAGGCTGTTTCTTGGTGTTTTTGATCTGTCTCATGATGTTTGAGTGAAGTTGCAGGTTTGGAGAGTGTGTGGTACCTGCTCCATGTTGTATCCATGCTTCTCTTTGGCCATCAGGATGTACTCATCCACTGCACACAGACAAGGGTTAGTCAGAACAGCGTCAAAGCATGCACCGCTCCGTGGCCTCTGCTCGTGTTATCGAGGTAAAGCCGATAGCTCAGTGATGAGGATTAGAACAAACTGGTTATATAAATTGGAATCGTTACCACACAAAGTACTTTTAATGCACCACAAAGTTTGACAAACCAAACGGATCATATTCATGTTAGTCGTTGTGTTACCATAGATACCCGCTGAGCCTTATATCAGTGCTTGGATTGGAGTTTTGAGTCCATAATGTCCTCATTTGAAATACCTTTGACAGCACTGCCCCCTGGTGTCTGGCCCTGGTACAGAGCGGTGTATAGAGCGGTGTACAGAGTGGTGCTTACACATGGCATCAGAGAGCTGGCTGTTGGGGCACCACACCAGCATGCTCCTCTGGTCCTTCTCCGTGTAGCGGCCGGGACAATCTGTGGACACAACACACCTCAGTGGACCGTGTTTAGCTTTATCTGTGTCTGTGTAAAGTTAGTTCATTAACAAGGACAATGGACAAAACCATCAGTATTTAAAAACTACAATTAGCAGTTACACATGGAATATGCATTACAGTTAATAATATTAAGTACAACCCTATAAATGACGAGGTAAAGGCAGCAGCTGATGGGAGACCTGCCAGTATCAGTATGAACGCTCCAGGGTGCGGCCTTACCTGGTTTGAACTCTGGGATCTGGGCCTGGTAGTCTCCTCCCACTCGGATCATGCTGTCTGTAAGAGACAAAGGCTCATCTACATCAGAAGTTTTTCTCTATTTCATATGGTCTTATTACAGGGCAGCTCCAACTCAAGTCTATTTTTAAAACTTTTTATTGCAATTTAGGGAAGAGTTTATGCCACCACCCGTAGGCAGGGAGCGCCACACAGCCCATAATTCTGCAATAGAGCCTCGTTTCTTCTTCTTAGACTAGGGCAGATCATTGAGGTCAACAAATCAGCTCGTACTGGAAGTGCCCAGGACTCGGTCCAAACATTGGGGTGATTGATCCTTTTCAGTTGCTGGACCAAACCTCTGGAACAAGCTGCCCCCTGACCTACGCACAATCACTGACTTTGGCCTTTTTAAATCCAGACTTAAGACATATTTATTCAGGCTGGCTTTTAATACTCAGTAGCACGGCAACACTTTAGTTTCTCATGGGTTTTATCTGTTTTTATTGTTTGGTTGTATGAATGTTTTTAACAGATTTTATGTGATTTTATTGTAAAGCACTTTGGTCGCCTTGTGTGTTGTAAAGGGCTCTATGAATAAAATTTGATTGATTGATCATAACCTTTTCAAAATTCTTTTCCTGTGAAGTGGATTTTCACTTTCTGCGTCTGTCTCAAAAATTATACGGTTTTCATATTGTCCTTTAAACATTTTGGGGCCTTTTTTTTTTATTGAAACCATAATAGGTTTAAAGTATTGGCTAAAGTATTAACCAACTAGAAGTTTTGCACAAATTGTCATGATCATGACACGATAAAAATATTTGTTGTGGTCTTGCAACATAATTTCTTTTATATATCGATTTATTTTTCATAAATCAGTTCCATTCATTGTAACGTTCCCAAAAATCACAATGTATTTTGAGTGTACTTCTGTACAAACAAATCTAGAAATGATGTTTTTGGGAGCGAATGGGTTAAAACATTTCAGAAAAATAAAAAGATTAATATTTCTGGATCGTCACGCCCCCATTAAGAAATACTAAATTCATGATTTTGCCTTTTCCAAGGAGAAGAAAAAGGCTTCCCAATTGCACCAAAGCAGTTCTGTTTGAGGATTGAAAACTAGAGTGCGTCCTCCTCCTGCCGCATGTAAAGTTCAGGCCTTGAATTTGGCTTCAAATCAGTGGCTTCATGACCCTCGGGCTCGCTGCACAGGAATGGTTCACACAGTGGGCTGTAGTCTTACCGTGAGCGTGCTCTTCGTCGCTGCTGTCCTCCTCGGAGTGTGGCTGGCTGTTGCCATTGGTAACAGTCTTCGCTCTGCTCCTGGAGAGGACCCCAGCCCCAGATCGCTCCATCACTGAGGGCATGGCTCTGAAAGGGTTACAGTGAGTCAGGACGTTTGCAGACACATCACAGGGCTACACTGTGCAGACAGCACCAGGCCGAGCCTTTGGGATGAGCTTCAAATGTGAATATTATCCTTTCCATTGGTAACAACAGGATTTAGGGCCACGCATTAAGAAATATGCAGTAGTGGTGTCAAAGGCAGAGCAATATTTACTTTCCCCAATTAGAATTATCTAAAAGAGATCGCATAGTAATTTCCTCCGTAGCCAAAGTTCTCTCATTTGAAAACTGCAGGTGATTTAAGGAACAATAGTTCTTTGCTAGGGCTGGGCACTGTTTAACGGTCGGCTCCTACTTGGAAAAAAATGCAATGCATATTCGTTCAGTTAAATTTGTATTCTAATTAGGGCCGGGACTTTAACGCGTTATTTACTATTAATTAAACGCCACAAAATTAGCGCGTTAAAAAAAAAAAAATTGACGCATTCTAATCGCGTGTGTATTTTCCACCGCGGAACGTTCCTCACGAATGAGTTTCAGGCGGACCGATTATACTGGAGCGCCACCTGAGTTCCGTGACTTCTTGTTCAAAAGTACATTATAACAAGCATAGACCAACTCTGAGTGAGTTAAAGGCAGGAAAAAGCGCTCTGTGTGGAGCAATGGTGTGTGAGGAGGAGGAGAAGGAGCAGCGAGACACAAGTTATCTGCTATTTGCTAATGTTTTAGTTCAGGGGTGCTCAATACGTCGATCGTGATCTACCAGTCGATCGCAAAGGTAGTACTGGAAGATCACATTACATAAAAAATAAAAAATAAATCCGTTTACGCATTTGCGTGTGGACAGAGATAACTGGAGTTTTGCGTTTTTGCACGCCACAGTATGCTCCCAAAACAACAAACAAAACATGCGACCTCTGATCACTGAAGCATGGATCATACTGCCTTAAAAACTGTTCACTGCTGCAGTGGTTCACAGCAGCAAACATCCTCGCTCCACATCAGAGAGCAGCAAAGTGATCACGCACGCTCAAAAACAACCAAAACAGGAGCTAAACCAGGATCAAACCAGGGCTGAGGACTGGGGTCAATGCTTGTAAACATATGTCTTCACCATGGATCTATAATAACACGTCTTCACCCTGAGTTTCTTCTATGACTGTAAGTGCCGCTACAGAACGAAAGTTACGAATATAACTACGGTTCTATGAATCCTGGATGACCAACAGAGGCGGTGCTTAAATGCTAATTATGTCATAAATCATGCGGTTTTGCATGTACATCAACATACATTGTAGATATAAAGAATCCTCAATATATTTAAAAATAAATATATGTTTTGCATTTTTGTAGTAGGTAGATCATTGCATGCTGAAAAAGTGTGAAAAACTGTTTTAGTTTGAATGCACACATCAAAACGTATTATAAGTTTTTGTACTCACTTCGAGTGCAGTGCATTTTGGGCTTAAAAAGCGTATGTTGTGGTCAGTGTGTGTGGAGGCGATGACAGAAACATTATTTGAAGGAAAGAAGTCAGTCTGGTGCTATGTGTACTGGGTGCAGCTCCGACTGCCACTCCCCCGACCCAGTAATGGATTAAGGGGAAGAAAAAGGATGGATGGATGTTCTCAGGACAAATATTTATATGCGATTAATCGAGATTAATTAATTACAAAGCCTCTAATTAATTAGATTTTTTTTTTTTTTTAAATCGAGTCCCAGCCCCAATTCTAATTATAACTGGAAAAAAATGGTATGCAAGTGTACACACACTTTGTCCCTGATAGCATCTCTGCTATCATCCCCCACCTCTGTGTGGAGTTTGTTTGCATGTTCTCCCTGTGTCTACGAAATTTTCCTCCGGGTGCTCCGGTTTCCCCTACGGCATGAGGATGAATGAGTGTTTGGGAGTGTGACTGTGGGATGACGATTGGAAATAAGCTAAAGGCTACAATCTGGTGTATTTACAGTATCTGCTGTTTATTAACACACACTGCTCCTAATAAACAGTGTGTGATAATACACGACGACTGGGACAGGATATCATACGACAGAATACTTAACGTGTTGAAGCCAGTGGCGTCCAGCAGGAAAGGGGACCTCAGCCCAGCGACAGCTTTGGCAACATTAGTTTCTGCCCTGAACCTGTGTTTTTGTGCTGTTTTCTTTTTTAAAAAGGGGACAACAAATGATTTATGAATTCTGTGGTTATTTTTATTCCTTTTGATGATAAAGAACTCAGTTGGAACTGTGTCAGTGGCATTAAGTATATTCAATATGATATTTTATCACAAATATCTCTGATTCTGACGCCAAATCTATTTGACATCAGAATGTGTTATTGTGGCAAGTCTGTGCGTCACTTCACTTCAAAGTCAACATCCTCCCACGACATCAGTGATGGTTCAAGTGGTTTCAAAAGTGAATAGTTACCTTTGTTTCAAAACAATGCACTATGTTTTAAATTTACACATTTTACAATTTATTTCACACGTGTTCTGTCTGACATCAGCCTGAGACAGTAGGACATTTATCCACAATATGATGGTATTCCATAATCAATGTAAATGCTCTCTCTGTAGAGGTTTGAGGAAGACATGGTGGAGTCCACAGAATGGACATTAACAATATGATTAAGATTAACCAGATGTATCATCTATCACTATTGAGCACCGACTTCAACAGCAGCTCTGAGGCTGGTGCCCAGGGCCCCGGAGCCAGTCATATGAGGACAGCGGTCCTCAGCGCAGAGCACATCCACAAGCAGGACAAGGGGGGGTGAGGGGTGCAGCTCAGGAGCCCGACTCAACTCCGCCAAAGGCACGCGCACGCACGCGCACCACACACAAACACACACACGGCGAGTGTTCGAGGCTCTCACTAGGGCCTTTGTCTGTGGAGCACCAGGGGCCCCAAACTAACAGCTGCCCAGACCAAACTTCACTTCGCACGAGACTGGGCTCGACACACACGGTCCCTCCACACAAACTTATGATATACACACATATTTACTACACATGTACACACCAAGGCATGATCACACTGCACTCTACACTCTACACTTAGTTTGAATGATGGAGCCTCGATCACCTGAGGATAGCCTCGAACACACTCAGGGTCGTTATTAAATCCCACTTAAATTCAGCAAACAAAGAACAAAAGGAGAGGTTTCAGAGTCGTTGGCCTGATCACGGAAGGTGTGAATCACAAGGTAAACTTTTAATTTGAGCCAAAAGCCGAAAAAGTTCCAGAGTCTGCTTCACCGAATCATAAAGCCCACAGTGAGCCCTACACTCTGTATTTATAGCAGTAAATGTACATCACAGGCAGTAGATGTACACATCAGGCAGTAGATGTACACATCAGGCAGTGTAAAGTGGCAGAAGTGAGGAGAGAGCAGAGACTGTCCCAGACTCCGCAGCCTTTTGTCTCCTCCACGTTGGGCTCCAGGATCAGAGCTGCTCCAGGAGGAGACAGGAGCTTCAGCCCAAACACTGACTCCGTCTGTCCACAGTAGACCTACACTCACCTGAGCCTTGGGCAGCATTAGTTTGACCACTTGTCTGGTGTAAAGTCCCACAGTACTCCCACTCAGCAGTGGCTGATGCTAACGTTAGCATGCTAGCTCGTTACATGAGTAACGCTCGCGTTAGTAATGGAGTACTCTGGGCTGTACCTTTAAAGCTCTGTAGTTCGCTGGCTCTTGTCCTCTCTCAAACTCTCCGTGGGGCCTGTATCCGCGGCTGTCTCGTCCTGGGGCACAGGGGACACTGGAGCATCCACACACCGGATGGTTCAGTCTCACTGGAGTCGGTACAATGAGAAGTGCTGGAGCTGAGCCGGACTACACCCAGAGCCGCCGTGGACATCCGCCCATGCCTCTCCCAGGGAGCCGCAAAGTAGAGCCCAAACTCACACACTATTCTTCTTGGTGGTTTACCTTGATCCTAGCACGTCTTTGACCAGTTTGACCCAGCACTCATGGTGTACACATGCACATGGTACCTCCTTACCATCTGGAGGAGAGGGTTCGTCATATTTGAAAACACTTTCCAATATTTGACTGGATATAATTACGCATCATTCCAATGAAATAGTGTGGATGATACCAAAGCATAGACACACACACAGACACACAGACAGGCACACACACACACACAGACAGGCACACACAGACATATAGACACACACAGGCGCACACATACATATATACAAGCACACACACACACAGACACACAGACAGGCACACACACACACACAGACAGGCACACACAGACATACAGACACACACAGGCGCACACATACATATATACAAGCACACACACACACAGATAGGCACACGCACATACAGACACACACACACAAGCACACACAGACAGGCGCACACACGGCTCTGTGGCACTACGTGCCGCGGATGGATCTGTAACGGAGCATCACTGTGCTGAGGCCGGCTGTCCAGACTGTTCTGATGTAGACTATGTGCGCGCGCACGTGTGTGCGCAATCACAGTGAAACTCTGAAGACTTTCCCCCTGTATGTGTGTGTGCGTGCATGAGCTCACGTACGCTTTCTGACAACTGACAAGACTAGTCCGTGGTCAGAGCCTCCCACCCTCTCCCTCATCAGACTCTCTTCTCCCTCATGTCTCTACTCCTCCACTCTCCAGTTTCTCCCTTCTCTCTCCTACGCCTCTCTTCCTCTCTGTGCCTCTCTTCTGCTGCTCTGCTCCACGTCTCTCCTCCTATTTGCACCTCCTCTCCTTCTCACTGTCTCTGTCCCCCATTGTTTCTCTCCTGTCTCTGTCCCCCCTTATCTCAGTCATTTGGGTGACTGCTGCTGCTTCCCCTCCCCCTACTCCAGTCACACACTGGTACACTTTTTCCTTCTTCTCTAGGCATCTACTATTTCTCCAGATATTTTGCCTGAATCTTTTATGTGTGACTGTTGGGGATCAATGGGCCTCATTTATGAAATCCCCGTAGGACACAATGTGTGCCACTGACCAGGTTCCAGTCCATGGATGTGGTCAGAGCCCACTGGCCCTCAGCCTCTCCCTCATCGTGCGTACATAGGAACGTGATATGTCCATTTCAACGTGATCATACGGCAGGTCTGGATGTGTCGTGCGCTGATTTCAAACAAACTAGACACAGACTGAAATGAAACCTATACTTGTGGAACTTGTTGAAAATATGCCGTTAAATGGACTATTTAGATTTAGCATTAGTCAGAACCACACACGCCACAGCAGCGGCACAGGTCAGACACTCACCAGGGAAGCTCTGGTCCTCGGTTCTCTGGGTCCGGGGGAAACAAGGGATGATGATAAATATCCTGAGTCCTGGATCTACAGCCTGCTTCCGTCTGAGGAAGCGGATCCCTCCCTCAATGAGGTTTCTCTTTTTTTCCCTACTGGGTTTTCAGAGTTTTTCCTTGGCGATGCAGGAGGGTCCAAGGAGAGAGGTGATGATCCGGGACACTCAACATTCAAGGACATTTATGGACTTCATCAACATTTATGGACATTGGTCTCTGCCCCTTATGGACCAATGGCTCTGTGTTTTTTATCATTGCATTTATTCTGTTTGAGCTGTTTGATTATCTGATCGGGGTTGGCGAATCAACGACTTTGTAAAGTCCCAGAGATAACTGTTGTGATTTAGGGCTATATAAAAAAATATTCAATTGAATGGAATTGATTAATGATTTAAATAAAGTTGGTAGAGCATTGGCCTTAAGGCCAGAAGGTCGTGGGTTCAATTCCCACCTCTGCACCTTCTCCACCGACTCCCACTGATGACTGCTGTCGTTGTGTCCTTGGGCAAGACACTTAACCCCACTTTGCCCAAAGCCCCCACTGAAAGATCAAGGCTATGCTCACACTCAGAGAGCAGCCGTCCTCCTGTGGACTCACCACCTGCAGAGGGTCAGTGAGGGGCTGGTGCTATGAGACTTGGGTGGCATCTCTGACTGCCACCCCCCTGACCCAGAAATGGATTAAAGGGTAGAAAATGGATGGATGGATGATTTAAATATCCAAAAAGTCCTGTCGAGTCTGTTGTATTTCCGTCATATCTCATAATCTCATAACGTTTTGGTCCTGGTTCCGTCCTCCACGGTTCGGTTCTATCCTGCGTGCGCGCTGTCCGGTTCTGATGTAGAAATGCATCGGTTTAGCGCATGTGCAAGATGAGACCTGTAGACAGAGTGGCTGGTCTTCAACTCGAGGTTCTGGCTCCATATTCCCAACTCTCCCCTTCTCTGAGCTGCTTATCTACAGTCACTTTTTAAATGTAAATTTACACTTTTTGTTGACAACTTTTTATTCAATTAGTTCCTAAATCCTTTCACATTTCAAAGGGACCAAATATCACATTTATATTTTTATATAATTATTTCCTTCTTTGATCAAAGGCTGTACTCCAATTGTAATCTTCCATCCATCCATCTTCTTCTTAATCCCTGGGTCGGGGGGTGACAGTCAGAGTTATACCCACAGAGCACCAGCCCCTCACTGATCCTCCTGCAGGAGGATGGCTGCTCTGTCAGTGAGAGCATAGCCTTGATCTTTCAGCTGGGGCTTCAGGCAAAGTGGGGTTAAGTGTCTTGCCCAAGGACACAACGACAGCAGAGAAGTGATAGAGAAAGTCTTGTGGTGGGCTCAAACCCACGACCTTTAGGTTCAAAGGTCTACCAACTGAGCCACTGTCGCCCACACCAATAGTAATCTTATGGAAATATGAAAAACATGTATTTTAGGCACTGTTATGACCATGACCTTAAGTGCCAAGAATCTCTCTTCATCAACAGTTACTACTTAGCGCAGTTACTACTTTCTTTCGTGCGTTGTTATCTTCATTACTATTTACTTGTTTTACTTTTGCATTGGATAGATTTTCCTCAGGTTCCACTCAAAATACCTTACAATAAAAACGTTGGTGTACGGACACTTATTTGACGCGAGGGAGGCAAGTTTCATTTTGATAAAAGAGGCCCAGTGAAACTGAGTCTTACCTCTGTGGACTTTCAAGATACCCCTGCTGGTTTTATGACCTAGATATATGGTAAGAAGTCACCACACATCACACCAGGGTGTCCTGCTAAACCTGTTTCACTCCCTTCCTTGCACTGATCCAGACTTCAGCAAACCACACTAAAAGTGTATTTGCTCGAAGGGGTGGGGATTTTGGATCACTGCGGTCTGAGAGGAGCCTGCAGAGCCTCGAAGGTTTTAGGGAGGGAGACTGGAGGTGACAGAAAAGACAATAATTTCAATATGTTTTTCATCCACTCATTGAGTTTTATCCTGCAATCAACATCGGAGTTGAGGACACTGTCATCTACTTACTACAGTGGCCACTCTTCCACCTGGAGCACTGTGAGGGTCATGTTCTTTGACTTCTCCAGCGCTTTCAACACCGTCAGACCGGCACTGCTGCTGGGGAAGATGGAGGACGCGGGAGTGGACAGTCACCTCACTGCATCAACTACCTCTCAGACCGACCACAGTACGTGCGGCTGCGCAGCTGTGAGACTCTGAGGTGGTAGTCTGCAGTACTGGGGTCCCTCAGGGTACTGTCCTCTCACCGTTTGTTTTCACCATCTACACCTCAGACTTCACACACGACACACACAGCTGTCACCTACAGAAGTTCTCAGATGATTCCGCCATTGTGGGCTGTGTGTCTGAGGGGAACAAACTGGAATACCGGTTGATTATCATTAACTTTGTCGACTGGTCTGAGCGCAATAACCTGTGCTTGAACACCAGTAAGACCCTGGAATCACAGTGACATCTGTGCATGTATCAATCCAGTATGTAATGGTTACTTATAGACTTCTTTAAAGCCAGAAGTCATATCAAGGCTAAATATTTCGTTAATGAAGGAGATGTGGAAATGACCTACTTTTGTGTTGCCACATTGTCTCCAGCATTAAGCTTTGTCTGAGTCATGGCACTGCTTACTTTTGACATATGGAGTTTTTTTTTTTTCCAAACAAATTTGCTCCAAAGACCTGAGCTTGATGTGTTCATGGTAATTTTGCAAATATTAAGCCAATCATCCTCAGATAGAACAATATTTACATCTCTCTCCAATTTTTCATTCATACAAGTGGGGGAAATATTTTGGGGCACTTGTAAATGTTTATATTCAACCCTTATTTGTTTTCTTCTTACCTTTATTTAACCAGGAAAGTCCCATTGAGATTAAAAACCTCTTTTTCAAGGGAGTCCTGGCCAAGAGGCAGCAAAATATACAGTTTAAGAATTACATACACATTACATACTCATTATAAAAAACATTTACAAGAGGTTGACTCAAGTGCTCTCATTTTGGACTTAAATTCGTTCAATGGAATAAGATCAGTTATTTTCCAATCTTTTTGCAACGTGTTCCATGTAGAAGGAGCAGAGTGAACAAATGCCCTTTTTCCCAGTTCTGAACGGGCAAATGGAACAGTGAGCAACAAATGATCATTTGAACGCAAACTATAAGAGCCAACGCTCCTCCGTGAGATTAGGTTACAGATGTAAGAGGGCAGTAGACCAAGCATGGCTTTATAAATAAAAGTATACCAATGACTCTGCCTCCTGGAGGACAAAGAAGGCCATCCCACTCGAGAATACAGCTCACAATGATGGGTCAAGGCCCTACAGTTAGTAATGAACCTCAGAGAAGCATGATATACAGTGTCAATCTTGTGTAGACATTGAGCAGACGCGTTCATGTACAGCAGGTCTCCATAGTCTAAAATAGATACAAATGTTGCAGTGACAAGCCGCTTTTTTGCTTTAAAAGAAAAACAAAATTTATTTCGAAAGAAAAAGCCCAATTTGAGTTTAAGTTTTTTCACAAGATTGTCTATGTGGGGCTTGAAATTCAGGGAGTCATCAAGCAATATACCAAGGTATTTGTAAGTGTGAACCACCTCTATGACTTTTCCTTCAAAAGTGGACACTGAGGGGATCGTTTGAGAAACCTTCTTAGTATTTGAAAACAACATTAGTTTAGTCTTTTCAGCGTTGAGGACCAGTTTTAGCTGCAGAAGTGTGTGCTGGACCACATCAAAAGCTTTCTGCAGAGATTCTACAGCTTTAACAGGGTTAATTCCAAAACAGTAAATTATTGTGTCATCAGCGTAAAAATGCATATTAGCGTCAGACACATTTTGTCCCAATTCATTAATATACATGATGAACAGAAGGGGTCCTAATATTGAACCCTGTGGCACCCCCTTGTGGACATTCAAAAATTCAGAACACAGGCCCTCACATTTAATACACTGGGTCCTGTGACTCAGATAATTTGCGAACCAGGAAACAACATGATTAGACAGTCCCAAACAAAGAAGCCTATGCTTTAAAATAGCATGATCCACAGTGTCAAAAGCCTTTGACAGATCAATAAAAAGGGAAGCACAATATTGCTTTTTATCAAGAGCAACAAGTATGTCATTTATCACTTTTGTAGCAGCTGTGATGGTACTGTGCTTTTTCCTGAAGCCGGATTGCAGTTTAGAGAGAAGTTCATTAGAGTGCAGGAACTCTTTGAGTTGATCACAAACAAGAGATTCAAGAACTTTTGACAATACACACAAATTTGATATTGGCCTGTAGTTACTTAAAACAGCTGGGTCACCTCCTTTTAGTAAAGTGGTAACAAAAGCAGACTTCCAAACAAGTGGGATTTCTTTGCTTTGAATTGAAAGATTAAAAAGGACCGTAAGAGGCTGTGCTACATAGTCAGCTGCTATTTTCAAGAAGTAGGGCTCTATCAAGTCTGGTCCGGGGGGTTTTCTGTGGTCTAGTGCTTTGAGAGCTTTATGCACTTCCTGCACAGTAAAAGGAACAAAATTAAAACGCTCTCCAGAAGACATTGGAGATTCTGTGCAGGGAGTCACAGGGGCTGCTCCTGAGAAGTCAAACAAAGAACCAGAAGCTACAAAATGCTCGTTAAAGCTATTTAAGACCTCAGTCCTATCATACACAGGGACAGAGTCTTTTAAGACACATTTTGGAAAAGCATGAGGTCTTCTGTTTACAGATAGAGACTTTATCACTTTCCAAAATTTCTGTGGGTTGTTGAGGTTTTCTGTTGTGACAGATAAGTAATATTCTGATTTAGCCTTTTTGATAAGAGAAGTACATTTATTTCTTAAATGCCTGAAATTAGACCAGTCAGATGGAGAATCACATTTCCTGGCTTTGGCCCATGCCACATTGCGTTGATGGATGGACTCTGACAATTCTGGGGAAAACCAAGGGTTCTCTCGTCCCTTGATTCTGAATTTCCGGATTGGAGCATGTTTATTTACAATCTTCATAAAACTTTCCTTGAAGTATGTCCAAGCCAGCTCCACATCTGGCAGCAGGCTCAATTGCCCCCAATTAACCAAAGACAAATCATGATGATACGCTTGTTCATTGAATAATTTTATATTTCTCTTGCAAATAATATGTGGTTTGCATTTGGGGATTTTAGTGTTCCTACAAGTAGCAACAACACAATGATCGCTCAAATCATTGCAGAACACACCCAATGTTGAGAATTTATGAGGGACATTTGTTAGGACTAAATCAATCAAAGTAGACTTATCAGGACTCTTCACATTTGGCCTTGTAGGTAGGTTGACCAACTGGCTAAGATTAATAGAGTCACAGAAAGATTTAAATTCACCAGAAGCTGTATTCAGCCAGTCCCAATTCAAGTCTCCGGCCAATAAGAGTTCATTATAATTTAATTTGGACAAAAGACGCTGTAAGGTTGATAATGCTTCCTTGGTGGCAGATGGAGGCCTGTAGCACCCCACGACAGTTATAGAGAGGGATTTAACTATTTCCATATTTAAAGCCAAAAAACTCAATTTGCTTAGTAATAGACTCAGATAGAACAATTGATACATCAAATCTTGATTTTACATAAATGGCTACGCCACCACCTTTCTTGGGCCTATCCGTGCGATAAACATTGTATCCAAGTATGTTGATGTCATCATTAGAAGTAGATTTGGATAGCCATGTTTCAGAAATGATCACAATATCTGCATCTGTCGATTTCACCCAAATTTTGACCATGTCCATCTTGGGTAATAAGCTGCGCACATTAAGATGAACAAATTTTAACCCAGGCATAGATTTGAAATCAGCAGGGGTCTGGACACATTTCAGCTCAGGTCCAGGGTTTGGTTGCACATTTCCAGATAAAAGTAAAAGTAGAACAATCATAATCAATCTTCGTTTCACGTTACATTTTGAAGCAGTCTTTTTATATGTTGAAGCCAGACATTGCTTTTCCTTAAGTGAAAGAGAAAGATTATATAAAGCAAGAAAACCTTGAAGTTTTGGTAAAACCCCAGGCAGATTGAAGCTGAAGGCCAAAACAAAATGAGTCAGTGGTGGCTCAGGGTGACCTGCTGCACTAGTTTTAATGCCTCTATAGTAGGTTTCACACATGGTCTGCATAGTATTAGATGTACTCACCCAAGGAGCACTGCCCGGTCCCAAGTCCCACACAGTCAACACACACAATAAAGTCATGAAAAATACCATCCTCATGTTGAATGACATAAACAGATACTGTTATGTTGGATGTAGCAGGCCAAGGCCAGGTGGATGTAGCAGGCTCAAGCCTGCCTGTTCAGGCTCTAGGTGGATGCTGCAGGCTCAGGCCTGTTAGCCCAGGCTCCAGATGGATGTAGCAGGCTCAAGCTCCAGGTGGATGTAGCAGGCTCAGGCCGGGCTGCAGATGGATGTAGCAGGCTCAGGCCGGGCTCCAGATGGATGTAGCAAGCTCAGGCCGGGCTCCAGATGATGGATGTAGCAGGCTCAGGCCGGGCTCCAGATGGATGTAGCAGGCTCAGGCCAGGCTCCAGGTGGATGTAGGAGGCTCAGGCCAGGCTCCAGGTGGATGTGTGGCAGGCTCAGGCCAGGCTCCAGGTGGATGTAGCATGCTCAGGCCTGTTAGCCCAGGCTCCAGATGGATGTAGCAGGCTCAAGCTCCAGGTGGATGTGGCAGGCTCAGGCCAGGCTCCAGGTGGATTCTAGGAGTCTCGGGCCAAGCCCCAGGTGGATGTAGGAGGCTCAGGCCAGGCTCCAGGTGGATGTGGCAGGCTCAGGCCAGGCTCCAGGTGGATGTAGCATGCTCAGGCCTGTTAGCCCAGGCTCCAGATGGATGTAGCAGGCTCAAGCTCCAGGTGGATGTGGCAGGCTCAGGCCAGGCTCCAGGTGGATTCTAGGAGTCTCGGGCCAAGCCCCAGGTGGATGTAGCAGGCTCAGGCCGGGCTCCAGATGGATGTAGCAGGCTCAGGCCGGGCTCCAGGTGGATGTAGCAGGCTCAGGCCAGGCTCCAGATGGATGTAGCAGGCTCAGGCCGGGCTCCAGATGGATGTAGCAAGCTCAGGCCGGGCTCCAGATGATGGATGTAGCAGGCTCAGGCCGGGCTCCAGATGGATGTAGCAGGCTCAGGCCAGGCTCCAGGTGGATGTAGCATGCTCAGGCCTGTTAGCCCAGGCTCCAGATGGATGTAGCAGGCTCAAGCTCCAGGTGGATGTGGCAGGCTCAGGCCAGGCTCCAGGTGGATTCTAGGAGTCTCGGGCCAAGCCCCAGGTGGATGTAGGAGGCTCAGGCCAGGCTCCAGGTGGATGTGGCAGGCTCAGGCCAGGCTCCAGGTGGATGTAGCAGGCTCAGGCCTGTTAGCCCAAGCTCAGGGTGTGGGAGAGGCTAAGTTAAACTCATTAAAGGTCCACAATTCACAATTCTCAAGAGCTTGTGAAGAAGTTTCAATAAAAAATACATTAAACTGTAACTTTAAAAAGAATTAAAAGCAGTAAAAATCCATTAAAACGAGTTAGTCCAGAGAGAGACACTGAGCAGACAGTGGACATGCTGCCATCTTGGATTTGTCTTCTGTTAGTCCATATGTACTACGATTCAATTATTCTTTTGTTTTGTTTTGTTTTTCCTTTGCTGGACTCCAGTAGTATCTGTATTAAATCGACTTCGTCCTCAGTCCAGTAAAATTTCTATCAAGAGAGTATCTGAAGACATTATGTTTGAAAAGTTTTTGAAATATTAAATTTAGACAAATAACTTTTAATTAAAGGAGCAGTATGTAATTAAGGCTGCAATCGGCGTCGAACGGCCCTCGCCGCACCACGCAAACGAGGTGGCGCTAACGCGCCATCTTCCTAAAGCCCTGACGGGAGCGACACTGCATTTTGAATTCCTATGATCAGTGATTGTGTGTCTCTATTGAAAAGGTAAACTCCATTCTCCCTATGTAAGACTTGAATCAGTCTGTAGGGGGCGCTAATGCTGCAATTTCATGATTCACACTTTCAGTTTACTCAAACCCAAGAGTTGAACAATCAATTTAAGTTTTGTGCCAATCGGACTTAGTATATGCAAATAGTGGCATTTATGTTGAAAAATAGCGCCCCCTACGATGTCAGTTTTTTAGTTTTACACAAAGGAACACCAAAATAATACACTTTATGCTTGAAAAAAACTTGTGGCAAAGTTTGGTGAGTTTTCGTGTTTGTTAAGTGGGTCAAATATGAGATCAAACAACATTAAACCTAAATACCTGTATCCCCATGTAAACCTTTACTCAGCCTGTAGGGGGCGCTAATGGGCCAATGTCATTGTTCACACTGTCATGTGACCTAGGCCCAGGAGTTGAACAACCCAGTCAAGTTTAGTGCAAATCAAACTTTGTAAATGTGCTCCTGTTTGCACATACAATCTGTGAGTGTGTCCATACAGTCTCCATTGGATAACATGGGAACTTCACACCTCTCTATGAAAATAACCACACTTTGGGAGTCTGTCACGCGCAGACCGTTTGACTAATTAAAATTCTATGATCGACTATTGATGTGGAGCAAGATGATGTGGAGCGATTTTCAGACAAATTAGTGAAACGGCCGCGGCTGGTTTGATGTTTGAGCGAGGTGTACTTTTCAGAGATTTAACGATTTTCCCATAAGCACAGAATGGCAAGTGTTTGTCGTCGCCACGGCAACAGGTAAAAAAATAAATATTGGTTGTCATTGACTTTTTTAATCCAGAGGTCAAAACAGAATTATGTGCAAAATTTCAAACATTTTGAAAAAACTAAATGTGATGAAGCCCATGTAAAACTTTGACTTAGTCTGTAGGGGGCGATAAAGAGCCTATTTCAATATTTCCACTTTCAAATGACCCAGATCCTGGAGGTGAACAATGGATTAAAATTTTGTGCAGATCTAATTTTTTGTGTGCAAACGGGAGCAAATTTGCTTTTGTCAAAAATCTCCAAAAAACAAGTCACATTTTGCCGCTCCGCTGCTCGGACAAGGTTTAACTGATCCAAAATCTATGATCAAATATTGATGGTACATGTGTTTAATGTGTGAAAAAGATAAATTTTCATTTTTCCATTTCCCATTGAAATTAATGAGCTCCCTGTTTGTCAGGGGGCGGAGCCATAATAACTTTTTTTTTCATGTCTTGACATGAGGAACATGTGTACCGAGTTTCGTAGCTCTACGACAAACTTGACCTCGGACCCCCACCCATAGGCGCAATGTCAACTGACTTTTATAGGGGGTGCTATTCTCTCATTTTTTTAGACCCTAAAAAATAAACACCAAAATGTTTTTTGTCAGTCTCTGCAGGCACAAATTCAGAATCAGAAGCTGTCCAACGTAAAATTGCAAATTTTTTAAGATTTTTACTTTTAAGTTTTCTATGCTAGCCTAGCCTTAGCCATCCGTACACTCCGCTCAATCATCATTTCCCTGCATGTAACGTCTGGGTCTGCCAATGCTAACATATAGCATTGGCAGACCTCTCAAAAACGTCTTTACAGGATGGACCAAAAGTTGGCTCTTGGCCCAAAGCTCCGTTCCACATGTGTGTCAATGCTGAGGGGGGTGGATTTTTTTGGTCCACTCTAGTTTACTCGCTGTGAATTTTTTTAGTCTCTCGTTCAAATGAATGGAGCTCTCGCCGGCTGACGCATGCGCAGATGCGTTTTTTCACAATTTTCTTGTGGGCGGGACCACTCACGGCCATTTTGGATTGCTCCAGTAGAGCAAATCTTTTGGCCCATTAGTTAGAACGGCGGAGATAGGCGTGACTCTGTCGTTAATATATACAGTCTATGATCTGGTCCCTATGTTAGCGATTACAATCGTTTGAATTTCGACAGACAAATCAGCGAGCACGGGAGGCAGGTGTTGTTGTTAGTTGTGGGTGATGTCAAGAGTTTGCGTTGAACAGGCAGGTTGTAGTTTGGCAATGGCAAAAAATCCGAAAGTAAAGTAATCCGGTCTCTGGTTCTACCAATAAATTGAAGCCGGAGCAAGGGTAATGTTTAGCAAACGTAATCGCTGGAAAAATTGTGGCACTACTCCCCACGGTCTTCGTTAGCGGCAAAGGAAATGGTTAGGCTAAATGCTAAATGCTAACGACTCACTCGGGCACATTACATACGTCACGGTAAACTCAGATCCAATCGTTTCAATCTGCAAAAGGAGTTAACCCCTCCCACCGGTAAACGGAGCTCAATGGAGCACCTCCAGACCTTAGTACGAAATGTCATTTGTTCTATGGTGAGGTACGACTAGGCTAATTCTATGCCAAATTTCAAATATTTCAGAAAAGCCCGGTCTCCCAGAATAGATTGAAGTGGTACCTCAAAATAAGACTGGTTTATTTCTTTCCATTTAGCTTCACAGCCTGGATCACACGAACCTATCAGAACTCTCATCTGCGCTGCCCTTTAGGAACTCTCCAGACACTGAGCCATGGTTTTCACTTTTACCAAATAAAACTTGGGAGTAATCTGTTCCATTCAATGAATTGGTGGATATTTGAAGTGACAGTGCTTGGAATGGATAAAGAAATCTTGGTAAAATATGTATTTTTATTATTTCAAACATGTTGTACATGTTCATTGGTAAAAGTGACCAGTGTTTTAAGTCTGTCTTGAAATTTGATAATTACTTCATGGTATCATTCTTCCAGTGAAATTGTGATATCTTTCAAATCTCTAGTGAAAGTTGGTACCAAATTGATATTGTCTGTGTTTTTACTGTAAATTAAGTTTAACCGTGATATGTGCCAATCTTGAATTACATCTAAAGGACAACTAAACACCAAATCAACTCATTGAACTGCATAAATATATTTCTTATAGTGCTCTCTTACATGTCCTGGTCAAGAATCAAAAACATCAATAGTGATTTGTTTTTTAAAATTTGGTTTCATTTAGAAAATCAAATGAAAGCTATAGCTATAGACATTTTGTATTTTCAACTTTAGTGATGACAAAACCAGATTGATGCCGAGCATTTATACCATCCTCGCCTGCCTTTTTTTTTTGCTTTGTTTTTTTAGATGGCCCTACATTGCTGCTGTTTGATGCTGTGTATATAATTGTTTGCAATATGTCACAAAATAATTTTGTATGTCTGTAAAATATTGTACTGTATTGCTGGGCTCCAAAGACTGATAAAATGAATGAGTTGACATCAGGAGAGTGGAAGCCTCTTTGTTTGTTTGTGCGTGTGTGTGTGTGTGTGTGTGTCTGTGTGATAAGATAAGAATTCCTTTATTCGTCCCACAGAGGGGAAATTTCGATGTTGCATCGCACATATAGGACAGGGTGTGTGTGTGAGTGAGTGTGTGTGATTATCTGTGAACACACAAATGTATATCTGAAATTAGCATACAGTAGTACAACAAAACGTGCATTTGAAATATTAGGAAAATCAAACACTATGTAAACCAACATAAGATGTATGAATTATAGTTGTACAATAGAAAATAGCTCAAAAATTCAATGTTGATTTATTTAATGAATAAACCTGACTGCTGTCCTCTAAGTAAGATGTTTTTTGGACCTGGGACCATTTTCATTATATTTTTTTCTTGATGAATTTGGACTTTTCTCCAATTGACCATGATATAATCTGTAAATGTTTTGTTTCGGTCATCTGTTTTAAAAATATCATGGTTTCTAGAGATAGTCGGCCTCACCTCCACACACAGCTTGGGCTTTGGAACCCTATTCCTTGAGAGGGGTTGGATGCTCCACTTTTCTTGCATTTCTCATGGGGAGAGGCGGCGAGCGGGGGTGGCCATACTCATTGCCCCCCATCTCAGCCGCCACGTGTTGGAGTTCGAGAAGGTCGCGTCCCTCTGCTTTGAGTGGGGGACAATTCGGGCGTTCTGCTCTC